TTTGTAAACTAGTTTAGATTCCACCTGAGTCCTCAAGGATGTCTGGGGGCTCAACAGGGAGCACAGGGGAGGAAGGTGCTCCTGTTGGAAGAAGTTTATGCCAAGAACAGTGTTGTTTCTCTAAGGAATGGCACAAGGGCTTACAGTGGCCTGACTGGGAACACAGCCAAAGGCTGCTCCGAAGAGAGTCAAGCCCAGCCCTCAGTCCCAGCCATGAAGCCAACCACAAACCTCCCCACATTGGCAGACAAGCAGGGTCTCCTGAAGGTGTATAAATCAGGCTCACCTCTTCCAACCAGGGCTGCCACCATCACATAGCCATGCAGATTGTGCCCTGCAGAGCAAGAGCCCAATTAAATGCCACTCAGAGTTGACCTCATGGCATAACAGGCTAATCCTCTGGCTGCAGTACCTGCACCCCATGTAGGCACCAGTTCATGTCCTGGCTGCCCCACTCTTGATCCAGCTCCCTGCTTATGGCCTGGGAAAGCAGTGGAGGATGATGGCTCAAGTCCTTGCGCCCTGCACCTGCATGGGAGACCTCCAGGCTTTGGATCAGCTCAGCTCTGGTTGTTGCAGCCATTTGGGGAGGAAATCAGCAGATGACAAGCCTTCTCTATCACTCCTTCTCTCTCTGCAAAATCCACCTTTCAAATAAAAACAACATTTTTTAAAAAGAAAAAAATTTAGAATTACCTTGCGGATGGACCTCTTTGACAAAGTCATCCAAATGTTTCTCCCCTACCCCATGCAACAGAGGTGGTAACTTAGCTCTTCCCACTGCAACTTCCTCCACTGCGATGAAAACTCAATGCAGCCACACACTGTGATTTTCATTGGCTTTATGAGGACTCAGATGCATCTGATTAAAACTGCCCCAAGCTCTTGTAACTCTCTCCCTTTATCCCACCTGATTCTGTCTTTCCTACCTTCTCCACTCCTCCCCCTCCTGGATATGGACTGACCAACAGTGTCCTCCAAGGCATAACAGATCATTTTCCCTAGTTAATTTCCAAAATTTGGACACGACTTCCAAGCTGCCCAGGGCAGGAACGTGCCAGATCCCGTGATTAGGGAAACAAAAGGTCTCCAGCCAGAAACTCTATCTATGGAGCCCTCTCCGTCCCGCCCTATCAGTCTGGAGCTGTTCCAAAACCCTCCTAAACATCAGTCTGTAAAACGATTAACTTCTGCACTGCCCACACAAATCCCTCTGAGTCACAGCTGACTCCTGACACCGAGACAGCCAGCCTTAGGGTCAAGGTAGCCCCTAGTGAACTTGCCAGAACAATAAGCACCACTACCAAATGAACTCAAAGATAGCATGCGCTTGGTCCATCAACATCATTCTGTCTGTCCTCTAAGAAACTTTCTAAAAAGCCCAGAGTAAACACTGCAGAGAAAGCACAGAATACTATTTGGGGAGAGTGGGGGGAGAGAGGACAGGGCAGGCTGGAGCAAGAGGTAAGCCGTTGTCTGTAACACTGTATTTGTTCGAAAAAAAAAAAAAAGAAATCTCTACCCACAAGTGCAAGTTCGTACCAAGTATAAAACAAACCAGTGAGTAAAAAATAACCTATATGCCATCTTTGGCTCTTTGTTTAAAGCATACCGTAATTAACGAGGTTAAATATTTAAAGGGGAACACTTTCAAGACTCTGCTTCTTCTCCAGAGAAGGTTTAGGACATCCTCAGTCTTGAAGTCCCCAAGTTCTGACCCAGACATTGTCTGGGAAAGAAGCAAGCATGAAGGTAGCTGCTGGGAGCAGCTGCAAGAGCTTGCACGTCTGGGTGGACCGGCTTTGTTGAGGCACAAACAGCAGCGCCTAGGCTGGGGCAGTTTGTACGTGACACACTGCCTGTCCCTCCACCCACGCCCCATCTCCATTGTTGAAGACTGTTACCCTTGTGGAAGACCGCCTCTCCAATGATGTATCTATTCTGCCACCTAGCCTTCACTGCGGTCACTGCACCAGCCTTGCTCTCCGTCCCTCTCTGCAGAAATCTGTGTCTGGGCACTTCCCTCTTCCATGGAGGGACACCAGGAACTGCAGGCTTTCTTTCTTGAAAGTCACTGTCGCCCAGTCGGGGGCCAGGATGAGGGACCAGCGTGAGTACACCCGACACATGCTGGCTCTGAGAAAGTCAAGATCAGGAGGACCTGAGAATGGAATAAATGGTGTCCAGTAAGCATGTCTCAGAAGAAAGATCGTCTGCTAACATTTATCCTGTGTAGCCTGAAGACACCATAATACTTCATGTCTCACAAAAGTTTAACTCTCTCTAGCCAAGCACTCTTCAGCTGTAAATGCTATCTCCTAGCTTGAAAGTGGATGACACTCAATTCCCACCTCCCCAACAAAGACCTAGTTGAAAGGTGTCTAAGCAACCCTGTGCCAAAGTTGGACGACTCACGGTGACATAAAAGCAAGTTCATGTTCAAAGAAGGAGTCTTCCAGGCAAGATGCCTGGCCTCTCACATTTGCAATTGCCTCAACTAAAGGAGCCCCTTCCAGCCAAACTCCCCGAAAAGCAAGATGGTTGTTTTCCAGAAGCAACCTTCTCCAGGTGACCGTGCTGAGATCTAGGCTTTCAGAAGGGATGGGAGGTATCAGGGGAGGCTCACAGGCATCCCACATCTCACCTCATTACAATCCTACTGCCACGTGTTGATTATGGACTCTGCAAAGCAAAACTCATCTAGCAAGTCCCCCTTTTTTGGACCAAATCGTTCTAGATAACCTTGGCTGACAGAGAAACCTTCTTTCAGTCCTCACAAAGCTCACCCCCGTTGCCCCAGTCTCTGAATCCCTCTAATACACCCCTTTCCAAGAGGCGACAAAGAGTGGCTGGTTAGCCAGGGTAGACGAGCTGAGGAACCTCCCCAGGGTGCCTTGCCCACCTCCCACCATGCCATTCACCTTCCTTCCCTTGCCCCACCTGTATGATTCACCCCCTGTTGCATTTACCTGTTCTTATACACATAGCATCTTCCAGCCTTTGGAGGTCAGCTAGACAAAAAGAGGCATTACTGGAGATCTTCTCTGTTAGAATACAAGGTACCTGGAATTGAGCCATCCTCCAGGTCAGCTGCTGCCAGCGTGCTGGGAGTGGACTCAGTTACTGAGCAAGTCCAAAAACAGTAGCAGGGACTGGATCACACACCACTCTTGCCAGTTTGAACTGGACACAAAAGAGAAAATGACCCCTGATCTCCCGCACCCCTAACCTTTCCTCACCAGATCCCTAGCCACAGAAAAGCAACTAGAAAGTACTGCTTCCCTGCCCCCCACTCCCAGTCATTATAGAGGTCGTCTCCCTCTCCCAGTCAACACCTAAAGCACCTCTGGCAACATCCCTTTAAATTTAAAGCTTATTTTTTTAAGTGCCTTTTGGCAAATAAATTAAATGAAAAGAGAAGATTGGGGGGGGGGGCTGTTAACAGCACCATGCAATGTATTTACTTCTGAACTCAACTAGCAAGAGGAATATTTTCTTGAAGGCAGTTGTCCAGAAAGAATTCTTATCATAGATAAGAGTGCAGTCTAGTGGCAAACCTGGTGAACTGCAACAGCCCCAGCACCAGAGCAAAGTTAGAGCTCCAAGTCCTAGAGAGACTTTAAAGTCTCAATAGACTGAAGGAACGGCGTGGGGACCTGGGGCAGAGTTCACCCCCAGAAGGACAGTAACCTTGGTGGTCGCTCCCCGACCTGCCTGGGAACCCCCATAACCCGCCCCCGCCACACACAGCAGCTTCAGAAAAATCCCAAAGTGCCACTTGCAATCTTTCAAGACTTTGGTTTTCTTTCCTTTTTACTAAGCAAAGAAGGAATCGTCTGGGTGCTTGAGGCATCCGAGCATCCCAGTGAGGTCTGGGGTGGGAGTGGGGGTGAGAAGGAGTCCCTGCGATATGCTTGCCAACTCCTCTCAAACTTTGAGGGTCTCCCTCTCTGCTCTGTCATCCATTCCATCTAGGATTGTGACCCCAGGCACAGCAGAAATACCCCCCTTCTTAGCCTGCCCCCCCCCGGGGGCAGGGACCATGTCAGCCCACTTTCCTTGGGCCTGAAAGTGCACGTTCTAGGTGGCAAGGCAAGCACTTGAGACATCACAATGTTGCTTCCAGCAAGTGTCACATCTCCAGCTCACAACTCTCCTCGAAGCTGTTTTGAGGATGCCTGCTGAATCCACGCCACGCTGACACGCTGCTTCCCAGGGGCCAGCCCTGCCACTGAAGGCAGATGGCCACTTCTGGCCCTCAGATCCAGGAGGCAAGCCGCACTTCAGCAGCAGAACTGTCCCCACACTAAATACCCTTCCTCCAACTCTCACAGGCCAAAAAAAAAGGGGGGGGGGGGGGGAATCCAGTTTTCCTTCTTTCTTTTCTTTAATTCAGCTCACCACTCATGCCTGGGCAGCCTACACACACGCACACACACACCTTACACGGTAATTCAGACTGCAGCAGCCTTTAAAAACAAAACAAAGCTTTGGAAGATTTTCTTGAGCACTGTACACATCCAGTGGGCTAATAAGAAAACTGCTTCTGCCTCCAGCCCGCACCTCTGCTCGCTCCGGGATGGGGGTGGGGAGAGGCCGAGATGCTCTCATTGTATCCTCCCAGCCCTCCACCACCCCGACCCCCGTAGGAACGGCGACTTGCCCTCCTTGCTCCACCTCATCTGCGCCCTCCGCCAGCCCCAGCTGATCCCCCCAACCCCAAGCCCCTCGCTGACATTCCGCCGGGAGGAGGTTACGGCTCCGGGAGTGGATGGGGTGTGTGTGTGTGTGTGTGTGTGTGTGTGTGCGCGCGCGCGTGTGTGTGTGTGTGTGTGTGTGTAAGGCCTCTCCCCGCCCCCACCCCGTGTGAGTCTGCACTGCAAAGCTCCTTGGCATCCCCTCCCGGGTTGGGTGTTGGGAGCTCAAATTGCAGCTACAACTGGCTGGCGGCCAGGGGCCAGCTATTTAAAAGCGCCAGCTCCACCGGAGCCCGTAGTCTCTTTGGAAACTTCTGTCGGGGGAAGACTAGGAAGGAGCTGCAAAGCGCTGTGGGCTTCTTCCTTTCTTTTCCCCCTTTTTTCCCTCCTTTTAATGACCCCCTTCCTCCGTTTGCACCCTTCCCCGGAGTTCACGCAGAACCTGCGAATTTCGGAGAGGTGTGACTGAGTGGGAGAAGAGAGGTGCTAGCGTCTGATTTTTTTTTTTTTTTCCTCCTTCGTTTTCTTGATTTCAACATTTTGTCCCAACCTCTAGGCTGCAGCCAATCTTTCTTACCTGTTCGCGGTAGCCGCGCGCCTCGGGCCGCTGGAGGTTAGAAAGGAGTGGGGGGTGCATTTTAGATTTTTAAGCAAAGAAAAAAAAAAACTTTTTTAAGACAAACCCAGTTTTTCTCCCCCTTACCCTTTACAGCCCCCTGCTGCAGAGTCTTTCAACCTCATTCCTGCGGACGCTGCTTTGGGGAGCGATTTTGCGATTTTCTCCCACACAGCCTCTGCTGTTCAGATCGGCTCTGGCTGCGGGCTTTTTCCAGTCTCCGCCCACTCTGAGTGCACCTGGCGCGGCTCTTTTTTGCCCCCAACCTGTTGCAGGCTTTTAATCTTTGCAACTAAGACTTCCTCACAGCCACCTCAACTCTCCCCACGTCTCGCTGCATCTGGCGAGTGTCTGGGGAAGGACACCTGCTTTTACCTGCCAGAGACAAAAAGAATTAATAAATCTCCGGGAGCCCTCCCTCTCGGGCCCCTTAACTCCCCTGCACTCTCGCTCTCCTGCCCCGCCCCGAGGTAAAGCGCGAGAAGATGGTGCTCACCGCAGTCCTCCTGCTGCTGGCCGCCTGCGCGGGGCCGGCCCAGGGCCTGGGCTCCTTCGTGCACTGTGAGCCCTGCGATGAGAAAGCTCTCTCCATGTGCCCCCCCAGCCCCCTGGGCTGCGAGCTGGTGAAGGAGCCAGGCTGTGGCTGCTGCATGACCTGCGCCCTGGCCGAGGGGCAGTCGTGCGGCGTCTACACCGAGCGCTGCGCGCTGGGGTTGCGCTGCCTCCCCCGGCAAGATGAGGAGAAGCCGCTGCACGCTCTGCTGCACGGCCGCGGCGTTTGCCTCAACGAGAAGACCTACCGCGAGCAAGTCAAAATCGGTGAGCGCACTGAGGGTGCCCAGCGGCCGCGCGGGCGCACGGCGGGCGGGGGGACTCGGGGCGCGCGGGGCCCGCGCGCTGTGCGCAGCAAGTGGCTTAGAGCCCGGGGGCTGCAGAGCGGCCGTAGCGGAGGAGGGCTCTTGGACCTGGAAATCAGAATCTGGATCCAGGTAGTGCTCTCAGCTGCGGTCTTGGAGAGCCGCTCCCCATTCTCGCTCTGTCTCTTGCCCCCTGTCCCGGTCTCACGGGACTCCAACCCCACCTGCCTCCTGGTGTATGAATACTGCATCTGAGTTCCCACTCGAGTTCTAGTCTAAACCCCAGTTTACACTAAATTGCAGTCAGAAAGGGTGCATGTTACATTTTCAATCCGGCATTTGGTGGTGGTGGTCTTGTGATTGGGGACGGGGGCGGGGGGCGGAGTGGACCTGGATCTCTGCTTTAAATGGGACCTAGAGCGAGAGCTGCAACCCATCTTATGAGCTCATTCCAACTTCGTCCCTCCCAGCACATATACCCCGCCCCAGCCCTCACCCCACCCCCACTCCAGAGCGCCCGGACAATTCCAGCCCCCCCCCAACCTCTACACATGAACGAGCACACACATCCTTGGAAAGCGTGGCGCCTCCCACGTGCACGCCCGTTGGTTTGAACTTGATGTGATTGATCATGGTAGATGGTAAAATATATTAACTAGCAAAATATCATTTTTTTTTTCTTTTCAGGGAAGGTAAAAAAAAAAAAATTAGGAGCTCTGGGGTGGGGTGTGTGGTTGCGGGAAGGAGTGGATAGACGGGTTTGGTATTCCATGCCTACGTCCAGTGCGTTCTGCCACCTCCCCAAATTGGATTGTCCCTAAGGTGGGCGTGAAGCTCTGAGGCGAAAAGGAACTGCGATTGCGACTTCACAGTCTGCGCGCCAGGCCGAGCCCCCTCACCCCGCGCCAGCTCCCACCCCTCCACCCCTCACCCCTCAAACCAGATCTCAAGTGAGTGTGGCGTAAGCTGCCTCCGGGGGCCTTGGAAACGCACAATACAGAATGCAGGGGGCGGAGACAGAAAAAGACACACACACCGGGGGGCCGCCTCTCCGCTGCCCCGCCCCTGCAGGTCCCGCCTTCAAGACTCGGCGCCAGGCGTCTAGTTTAAATGACAGCGCAACTGGTTCAATCAGAACAGCTCTCCCCCTTAGACCGTGTTTCTTTATGGAAAGATATCTAATCTTGATTTTTTTTAAAGAAAAAAAAAAGCTTAATAACCTACATACACAAGTCCGGGTTCTGAGAGGTGGATCTGACTATTGGTTATCCACATCAAAAGCGGTTGGTTGAAACTGGCTAAGTATGTTTCTTGCTGTTTTTGCTTGCTGGAAGAATACCCGTCTCCCTATCCATCGCTCATGAGCACTCAGCACGACCTTAGCAAGATACGCACCCCCTCCGCCCCCTTATAGGAATGGAGAGAGTCCGCGCTTGCCAGTAGGCGACAGAGCTTTCTTGGGTTCCGTTGCCAGGCCGAGAACCCTGCAGGTATTGTCTGGTGCACGCGGAGACCCCCACCTCTACCCCCCAGCTTCGCAAGAGGCAGTCGCTCTTCCGTTTGCAGGCTGCAAATAAATAAATAAATAAAGGTGGGGCTGTGGCTGCTGGACTCACCAGAGGTCGGTTTGAGGTTTATTTTGATTAAGATCCACTTTCTAAAGGCAGTCCCACCCCCTTCATCTTGAGGAATGTGGTCTTGGAAAGGCTCCGCGCTGAGGAGGATGGGGGAGGCAGGAATTGGTTTCCTGACTTGGAAGCCAGAGCTCTGGCAAACAACCCAGTCACATCGGAAGAAAAAAAAAATTGCAAGGTATGGTTCAGCCGCATCTTGGCCCTGCCTTTATTTGCCCCATCGCCTAGCTGCTGTGGAAGGTGGTGTGCGTCCGCCCGGTAATTGCGGTCATTGCTCGGGCTGCAGTTGCAGGCTGGCTGCGCGGGGCGGGCGTAAGGGGTAGTGCGGAAAGTGTTGGAGATGTACAGATGCTCTTTGGTCCTTTCGCCAAGGCTGCTGCTCTCCAACTCCCTGTCCTTTCCCACCCAAAATCTAGCAGTGCAGATGGTACAGGGCATATTAAATAGCTAAAGTACAGATTCCACAGCATTAGATTGATATGTGTAGGTTACCCTAACATGCATATACTATATCGCACACATTACAGAATATATAGTGTATGTGCACTTAGTCTGTATTACGTAACCCCCCAAAAGCACGTTTCTAGAGTTGCAGAGGGAGGTGGCTTCCTGCCAGAGGCCAGGGAGGGAGTACAGCAGGCAGCTTGGCCTGATGTGTTGCTGGGTGTGTTGCTGGGCGACTGGAGGGAAAGTCTGCCCTCTAGCAGGGTGCTGGGAGCAGCGGCCTGACCCCGCATTTTATTTTAGCCAGTTCAGGCGCAGAGATAGATTTGGAAACAAGACTCTGTGTGACTGGGGATAGGAGGGGGTGAAGAGGAGAGGGAGGCTGGAGGGGGGGGGAGCCTCGAGTTATTTATTAGACGAAGCTCAATAAGCCAGGGTGAGCTGTAACAACAGAAGGAAGGCCTGGGCTCTATGCTGGACGTTGTTGGAAACGGGGAACAGCTTGTGGGTTTATGGGCACCAGGCAGACTACCCACCCTGGGGCTGGTGAGATGGTGAATTTGTTGAGCCCAAGAGAGCAGTGGGTTCTGGGTTTGCATTCTGCCATTGAGAAGTTTGAGAGGAAGAGGAACAGAACGTTTTCCTCTGGGGAAGAAATAAAACAGGAAGCCTGCACTCCCTCCAAGATGAACTTGGTCAGTGCTCCTTTGAGGAGTTTCGCCTCCATCACTCTGAATTCAGCTGCAGGTCTGGACCCAATGCCATGCTGAGGTCAAGTTCCAGAGTTTAGGCTTCTAAGCCAAATGTATGCCTAGGTTGAACAACATCATGGACAACGGAGGAAGGAGATTCCTTTCCCACTCAACTGCCCCGCCTTTGAAACCAATCTTTTAAGAGGTTAGCTGCGCCACAGTTAACGGAGTTGAGAAGACCGGTGCTGCTACAATAACTTTTCTTTCCCTTCTTTCTGCTGCGTCAGCTTACACTGGAAGAACAAGTGGACCCAACCACAGTGTCTGTTCTCCCCTTCTTGACCCTGCTGTCTGCTCTCCTCCATGCCTTGTCAGCATCCCCTAACTCTAAGGCAATCCCTGAGGGCTTGAGTTTTTAAGTCTGAGCAGCTGTGAGGGGTGTTCTAGGGCCCAGGCCTGGAGTGAGCAGGCAGGTGGGCCTGCAGCTGCAGAGAGAGGGCTGAGCTGATCCTGGGAGCCAGGAGTCAGTGCGAGGGTCGCAACAAGGGGCATGGGAGCAGGCATCCCAGCAGAAGCCCCACCCTGTCCCTTGACGGAAGGGGGAGGAGCTAGCGTGCAGGGGAGGTAAGATGGCTCTGACATTTTGATTCTGGACCTGGCAAGAGATGCCTGGGTAACTTTAAAATTATTTCACGTGTGCACAACACAGTTTTAGAGACGGGACCAACGCATCCCAGATCTGCTACCCCCAGAAGCTGGATGAGCACGGTGAACCACAAGGCACCCAGAGCCCAAGGGAAACACAAGGAGGTAACTGGGAGGAGTCTTGCTTATTCTGACTTGAGTACTTGTGCAAGTGTTCTCAATGTAACAGTTCCCAGCCAGGCTGAAATTGTGATCTGAATATGCTACTTAAGGAGGCTGAGAATGATTTGCAGAAATAAATCAGCAAGGACACGGGGAAGCCAGCACACACTCCTCCTCTCTTGCCCTAAGGTCAAGAAAACTACACCTTTTTCATCACAAGCCCCCATCTTTCCATGATCGCCTTTATAAGGTCATTTTTCTGTTCTCTGACTTCTTTTTAAAATATGAATACAGGAAAGTGTCTGGAAATCATGTGATAGAAGAGGTGGCCTTGCCTGCCTGGCCCCTGGGTTCAGCCCAGTGCTAGCATCTCTCCAGGAATTGTCTGGATTTTGGCCAAAGAATGTCACAGCTAGGAGGGGCCCAGAGCCAGCCTTGGAGGCAAAGCCCTCATTTCGGGGCGGGTAATACAAGGACCAGAGTAGAAAGTCACTTCTCCAAGCTGAGGGGCAGGGCTCGAACTCAGCTCTCCCCACTCCTTCCTGCCACTCCTGAGGGCCCTCTCACAGGCCTGGTCTGAGTAGCTTGGAGGCAGGGAGTTCCCACATGGGGGACGGGGTGGGCAGTCCTCCCTGGCCCTCCCTAACCCTCACTCTCAGAGGTCTTCCTCCTCCAGGATGAGACCTGGCTTTTGCAGAGCAAGCTGCATCTGACAGCACAGGCCTGACGGGGGGCTGGTGTGCAGGGTGGTGAGTTCTGAGATGGGCTGGGGTGAGGATGGGGTAGTGGGAGTAAGGGGAGGAGGAGGTGACCAGAGGATTAGGGTATCTGGAGGAAAGAGGGAGAGAGATAAGCCAGGGGGACCCAAAAGCTGGTAGGGAGAGCAGCAAGAGCGCCCCCTGCGGGCCTGCAGCAGCTCTTTCAGGCTGGAAGTGATGGGGGCCCAGGCTGGTCCTGAGAGCTCAGTGGCCTCAAGGCACCCTGGAGGCTGCAGCTCTGCCTGGGATGACAACGAAGGTGAATCAGATGAGCTTTTTATCCGATCCCTCTACCACTTCTTGGGGGTCAGGGCATCCCAAACCCTAACCGTTTTTTTGAATAAAATACACAATACATTGCAAGGGTACTTCAAAGCGTCTGTGAAAAATAGAATTAAAAGGTAAGTTTATGTGGGTGCCAAGAAATGTTGAACTCTATGCATATGTAGGGTCTTCCAAAAATACATATTTGTAGATAACATGCGTTGTGAAAAGCTATGCAACTTCTTTCCAACTCCTTTTTGCAAACTACATTTTCCATGAATTTTTTTTAAATAATCACAATTTTTAAAAGAAATTTAATGTTTTCTAAAATTTGAGAAAAAGAAAAAATAAAAAGAATAGTCCCCCTTACCAACAATTCATACCTGACAGCTTCTCCTAGGGAAGTTTTAAACTAAATAGGGTGCCAGAATTTTTTTTAATTTAATTAATTTGTTCGTTTATTTAAAAAGAGAAAGAGAAAGGTGGGCAGGTAGGGGTCTTCCTCGGTCACTTTCCCAAATGCCCACAACAGCGATACATGCCAAGAGCCACACACCCAGTCCAGATTTCCCATGTGGTCTGCATTTCAGTCACCACTGCCGCCTCCCAGGACTTGGGAGTGAAGCTGGCCCCTGCACCACACTCATCAGAGAAGAGTCTGGGCCTCTGCGGACAACTTGACTCCATTGTTTGACCCCCTGCAGAACCCTTCCTCCTAGGTTGTTTAGGACAAAGGACAAGAGAAGCACTCCTGCTCCCTGCTGCCCCCTTCTGGCCAGTCAGACTTCTGAGCGACAGGTTCTGAGTGGACCGGCAGGGGTCAGGCGTGGAAATGTGGCCATCTGGGCTGTATTTGGGGAGCAGCTACAGACCTTGCTGGAGGAGCATGTCCCCTCGTAGAGAAACGCTTCCTGGGGGTGGGCAGAAGGGCAGTGTGTCCTCAAGGGGCACATATATCGCCAGCTGCCTCTCGGGAAGCAAGAAATGTGGCCTCAAGGACAGATAGCAAGCAGTGTTGCTTCCCTGGCCTTCTTTCTATCTTCAGTTTGCCACCTGCCACAGTCACACAGAGGGGAAGGGTAGGGGTGGCACAGCTTGACAGATCCGCCCACGAGAGGAGCTGAGATTTGAACCCTGGTGTGCCAGCTGCAGATCCTGAAAGCTTCCTGAGTTCAAGTGCTATGGGGTGCCCTTACTTCTCTGGTCAGGACGGAGAGGTTCCTTCCCTGCCTTGGCAAGCTGTGCTGTGGGTGTGCAGCTCTGGGGAGGCTGGGGAGGGGCCGTGACTGCCCTTGCTCAGCCCCCCGTGTTCTCCACACCTACTCTATTCCTCTCCGCTCTCGCCTTTCAGGTCCTCATCTCGCAACCTTTCCTTGTGATGACAGAAGTAGAAGTTGGGGTGCTTTTTCCTCTTTCCAGGCCAGAGGTTGTTTCTTTCTGGGTCCATAATTCAGCTGTGTAAGAGAGCTCAGAGCATGCACTTTGCATGCCTGTGCCTAAGCACAGAGCAGAAGTGAGATGTTCCCAGAGTCCAGGCAGATGCTAGCGGGAAGGTGATGGAGGGAGACAATGCAGCACCCATGAAGGTGTCACAGCCCCTCTTCCACCCTGTACCTTTATTTTTTCCTTTATACAAAGCATGTATATAGGATGGTGTGGAGTCATCTGGTAAACCCCAGCAGGGAAGCAGCCCGACTTGAGGAAACTGAGCCATGGCATCCATGTATATGCAGGGAACAGGCACTCCTTGAGCCTTTCCCCTTCCCCCCCGCCATCCCCAAATGCCTTGCGTTGTAGCACAGAGCAGGAGGCCGGCTGGCCAAGAAGTGAGGCAAGGAGGGAGAGGTTTTTCTATTTCTGTCCCTACCCAAGCACCGATTAGTGTCCTCAGGCCAGCTCTGCCCAGCAGAACTTGCCCATCTGCCCATGATGATGAAAGTGTTCTATATCCACACTGTCCAGCACAGTAGCCACTGGCCACACGGGGCTCAGAGAATGGCACGGTGTGGCTAGAGCAACTGAGGGATCCAAGTTGTGTTTCAGTCCACGTTTACTCATTGAAGTAGCCACACTGACTCGCGGCTGCCACGTTGGCTGGCACGGCCCTAGGCCAAAGGGAAGTCCAGTGCAGCTTGGGTCATCTAGCTTGTTCCTGTGATGTTTTGCAGCTGCCTTCCTATATCCTGCTGCAGTTGGGTGGTCAGGCCGCAAGGCTCCAGTGTGACTGTACTGACCTCATCCAGGGCCTTGCCAAGCTCTACATCCTTCCCAGTGTACCTCCACCTCATCCATTGCCTTAAGCCCAAGCCATTTAGCTTTCTCTTCTGATGGATTATAGCGTCAAGATGGCACAGAGGGACTAACCAGAAAGCCTGGGGTGGAAGGTCGGATTTCAGGCCTTGTATCTTTCCGCCTCTGTCTTTCCATGGCTGTAACTAGGAAGCAAGGTAGAGACCAAATACCTCTTAAGAACTCCGCCCTGCCTCTGCCACTAAAGCACCTGACCCCGGAAAGAGAACAGCACCAACCAAGTGGAAAGCCATGGGCAGCTTTGAAGAAATGGTGGACTATGGGTGCTTTGTGTGCGTTGTACAGCTGTGTTGAGTATGTTACTGCACCTCCCCTGCCCCGACACCTCAGGGTCCACAGCAGCTGGGCCTCCATCCAGACACTCTGTGTGTTTGCTGGGACAAGGAAGAGAGCATGTTTGTGTGATTGTGGGAGAAGCCAAAGGCCCCACAGCTGTTTGTGTAGATTGAGCCTGTCTTTCTCGCCATCTACTGGCCACTGCAGATCCTGACCTGTTTGTCAAAGCGGCCACGGAGATGCCCTGTGCTTTGTTGCTGTTCCACCAGCTTGTCCTGCGTCAAAGTGCCCCTGCTTCACTTCATTCTCTCTTGATGAAAGTACGTCAGGTAGACCGGTCTACTCCAGAATTTTGATTTGACCTAAAATGTAAATCCTTCCAACGTGGAAAGCCTGTTTCTGACTTGACTGGCAGGCAGCTGAGGAGTGCGAGCCATCCCAGCCTTCCAGCTCCTGTCTTGCTTTCCAGCCCTTTCACCGTCGTGGCTCTGCACTGGCTCTGCTCCAGCTTTCCACTGGTGACTACAAGACTCTGATTGGGGTCTCTGAAACTCGGATACCATGAGTTGAGAAATGGGTCCCATGAGGTTAGGTGGCACCTGCCTGCTTGCTGGCATCGAGAAAGGCTGAGTGTAGTGTCTGCAGTCCTGGGATGTGCCCTATGTTCCCAGATGCCAAGGCCCTGGCCTAGCAATTGGGCCTACAGATGAGCTTTGTTTCAGGGTCTCTATGGTCTTCACAGATCAAGGTCTTACCTCATGAAACCTTGCAAATCCTGAGCCAAGAAATGGCATGGGTGCTTTTCACCACATATCAGGTTAGGCCGGGTCTGTAAGTGCACCCTAACTCTCAGCTGGGACTTTTGGGAGCTGAGAGCTCAGGACAGGCTCCAAACCTGCCCGGGGAACTGAAAACTGTATCCTCCTAAATAGCTCTTCTCTCCTTGCACACTCTCCTCTTCCTTACTACCTAGAATCTTCCCAACCCCACCCCACCCCATGGTTCCCCATTCCAAAGTATTCAGCTATCACCGTTGCCAGGAATCCCAGGAACAGCAGAGTGGAAAGAAACTAGGATGTCCCTTTGCCTCCTTCTATTTATCTGGAATCACCCAAAGCACCATCTTCCTTGGCTGGGGGCAGGGAAGAAGAAAGGTGCTTGAAAATAGATCGGTCGGGACACGCGAGCTTAAGCCCACCTACCCCAGCACCTGTCGCACTCTGAGCATCCTGACAACACCCACTTTACTTGAGTTTCCCCACTCTGAGTTCCCAGGGACAGGAAGACCCAGAGCTGAGTGGACATCTGGATGGGATCGGAGGTGAGGGAGAGGAGGCACGGTGTAGAATTCACAGAGCAACAAATATGTGAACCAAGTCCTAATTCTTTAAAGGTCACACAGCTAAATATAGGCTGTCACCCAGGCGCTCCTATATTTAACCTCGTGCCAGGCCCAGACAGCTGTTGGCCTCTCTCAGACAAACGTCCCAGCCTCCTGGGACCTGCATCACGCAGGGAGGGAGCAAGGTCTCTGTGACCCCTCTGTTGCCTCTTGGCCTCATCTGGCTCCCACCACCCCCCTGCCTGCTCTTCCGGACAGCCCCCCTCCCCCTTTCAATCCTACCTTTTAGCCATCCCAGGCCAGCAAATTGGAGCCACTTCCCTTGCCGTTGTCCCCTCCTCCCCTGTGACGCCTCCCTGCTCACTCTCACCTGTCTGTCCATCCACTTTAGCCTTGAGGTTGCGGAAGGAGGCTGACCCCCGCGGTCTCTTCTCCCCACAGAGAGAGACTCCCATGAGCATGAGGAACCCACCACCTCCGAGGTGACGGAGGAGACCTACGCCCCCAAAGTCTTCCGGCCCAAGCAAAGCCGCATCTCCGAGCTGAAGGCCGAGGCTGTGAAGAAGGACCGCAGAAAGAAGCTGACCCAGTCCAAGATCGTGGGCGGAGCCGATAACACTGCCCACCCCCGGGTCAATGCTGCCACTGAGACCAGACAAGAATCCGAGCAGGTGAGCCATGGGACCTTATCCTCTGCCACCCCCACCGTGACCCTCCCCTATGTGTGCAGGGACATCACATGAAACAGAAATATGCAGGCCAGATCTGGCTCACGACCTACCACCATCTGCCGGGAAGTTCAATTGAGGAGTCAGAGGAGAATTTTCCAGAATCTGTCAGAGCAGGTGGGAATAGAGGTAGCAGTGTATAGGAAGAGTGGTCGCCAGCATAGCGACTACACACCAGGTGTGGCACCTCAAGGCTGGTAACTTTCCTGGGGCATCCAGACCTGAGTAACGTCCCAACCTCCAATGATTGAGTACCCAGCAGCATGGAATGCAGAGGGTGGGTGGCCTGGATGACAACCGGGGAAGCATGGTTGGTTCTGTACCTGGCCACAGGCAGTCCTTGTACACTCCCGGGGTATGGGACAGGGGAGGGAAGACTTCCGGGAGTAGCTGACAAGATCCAAGGGTGGCGACTCACCCACTGAAACCCCCTGGCCCCGACTGCCTGTGTGGGCAGAGTACAGCTGGGTTGTGGCAAGTCACTCATCCCTCCTGTCTTCACAGGGTCCCTGCCGCAGGCACATGGAGGCTTCACTGCAGGAGCTCAAAGCCAGCCCACGCATGGTGCCCCGGGCCGTGTACCTGCCCAACTGTGACCGCAAAGGATTCTACAAGAGAAAGCAGGTGGGTCATCCTCACACATCCCTCGCTGCAAGTTTCCCAAATCAGCACCTGCAGGGAAACCTTCACCTCCAGGAGTGGCTAACGTTTCTACTGCCAGTGACTTAGTGCTTCCCCCTAATCCAGCGGGACCCCAGATATGTAAGAGCATCAGGGTCACCCGCGGGACCCCAGGTCCGGAATGGATTACTGAGAATATCCCGTGTCTAACAAGTTCCCAGGTGATGCTGCTGCTGCCACACCCAAAGTACCATAGTGCAAGGCAACGATAAGAGCCAAACCACCTGTAGGTAAATCTTGGCTCTGCCATTTCCTATCTGTGTCCCCTCAACTCAGTTATGTGTTGTCTCTTTGCCTCAAGACCCTGGTATACAACGGGTGGAGTGGTACCTGCGTCATATGATTGACAGGAACGAGTGCCCCATCTCTTGAGCACTTAGAGCAGCATCAGCCAGATGCTGTCCAGCAGGTACACAGGCTGCCTCCTGTTGTTATTCTTGCTGGTGTCACACCACAGCTAATAATGGCGCCCGTTCTTATTCATTATTCTTGCCATTATCATGATTATCAGAACACTTGCACTACTTTTAGAGATCCCTGCAGAATTCCAGATTGAAGAACCCTCTCTGGATACCAACAACACAAAATAAGAGATCTTAGGAACTAGCCTGGGCAGGCTGTCGAGAGCAGAACTTGATACCGGTCTCGCTCATGAGATGGGGACACCAGAACACCTGCCCTCTCTGGAGGTGCATTGGTCTAGGGCAAGAGTGGGTGGGAGCTTAAGCCTTGGGTACAGCCCTCACCATCTGTCACTCTGCACCCCAGTGCAAGCCTTCCCGTGGCCGCAAACGTGGCATCTGCTGGTGCGTGGACAAGTATGGCATGAAGCTGCCGGGCATGGAGTACGTGGACGGCGATTTCCAGTGCCACGCCTTCGACAGCAGCAACACTGAGTGATGCGACCCATCCCCATCCTCCCCTCGCCCCCCCACCCCTAGCCCCCCACTCCAGCCAGCGCCTCCCTCCACCCCTGGACGCCACTCATTTCATCTCATTTAAGGGAAACACACACACGTACACACATACATGTATATATTCGAGGAAACTAAGGGCCTCGGAATCTCCAGTAAGGGCTCAACTTTGGAAAGGGCAAAACAGCGGAGATGCCAGAAGCTATAAAGAGACCTCCACTTGGGCAGGGCTTTCTTGCTGAGGCAAGCTGAAAGAGTAGCGAAGGACAAAAGAAAGAATCAGAGAAAGAGATGGGAGGAAAGCTTCGGTGTAGGACAGAACGGAAGAGGGGATCGAGTGACCAGAAGGAAGACAGGGACGTGGTGGGCACAAAGAAAGGAAGGCCACGGGACCAGGGCTGGGGCGGCTTTTGCGTCACCCAGCCCTGGCCTGGGGATGGGGAGAGGTCAAATGGCAAAAGGCATGAAGGCCTGAAGTGTGGCTTCGGTGGAGTTTTCCCAGTTCAGATTGGACAGGAAGACAAGAAGAGACTGTGGGGGTTGTTGCCTCTGCTGGATCAGTCTCCTTTTCCAGCCAGTAAATGTGGACGGCCCCCACCCCACCCCACCCAGCTCCGTGCTTCCTGCCCTACTATACCCTGTATCCCCCAAACATATGCAAAAGCATTCCACTCCTCTGAAGAGAAAATGAATTCCCCATTGAGTGATCTCAGATAAGTCTCCCCAGAGCAGATCCGTACAGATGAAATCCATGTGCCCATTTCACAGATGCACAGAAGTCAGTTTCCACCCGAATTGGAAAGACTGGTTCTTGCAGAGGGACTGGAAGGCCTGCTGAACGCTGTGGCTTCAGCTCCTCATGCGTTCATTTCTCAACTCATGCAGCACCCTCTGTGGAGGAGGACGGGCTGAAAGACGGTGGGCTTGTATTATCTACAAGGCTCCATATAGTCATATATAGGCATGTAAATCTATTTCCTATCTCTTTTTCCTTTCTTTTTTTTTTCTTTGCATTAATTTTTTCAAAGTAGTTCCTTTGGGAGCATTGAGAAGCTTCCTCGTTCTAGGAAAACCAAGAAAACATATATAGTCCAAGTATAATAACCCATCCTTTCCATTTGCCCTCCCCTAGCCAGGGTTCTCCGGAGGCAGCCAAGCCAGGTCTTGGTGGGGCTTGGTATTGGAGAGTGGCATGATTTCTCACTTCAGATGGACCCAGGCAGCCCCTTGGTGCTGGGCACATCCCATTCTAGCCTTCAGACCCTCAAGAGACTGTCCTCTTGGGACACCTGGACACCTGACCAATTGAGCCCAATATAGGTCTAAGTGGGGCCCTGGGGCATACTCCAGCTCTCTCCTTACCTGAGGAGAGAGTGTTTGGAAAGCCTCGCTCGGTCTTCAGGCTGGCAGAACAGGAGATAGATTGACGCGAGAGGTGGCAGAGAACCAGGTGGTGGGGCAGAAGGCAGATTCAGAGCAGTGGCAAGCTGGTCTTTCAGGCCAGACAGCATGGAGACAGGGGGCTGCAGGAACAGGGAAGTGACACAAGGGGGCGCAGTCAACAGACTGTCTAGGGAATTGCCAATGCCAAAACCCACTACTGGGATTATAGAATTAGGAGGGGAGAGAATGGTGGAGCAGGTTGTAAGATAGAAATGAGCTCACTTCCAGCCACAAGTCCAGGGAAGATGAAGGTGGTGAGTTCAAGACTCCAGGGGCCAGTCGGAAACGAGGATCAGCCGGGACTGGCAGACGTGAAAGATGGCCCATCTTCAGATCCCTGTGAGCACCGAGGCCAGAGTTTTTCCTGCTCCTCATCTGTTCCAGCCCAGCCCTGCTTCCTCCCAGAGGCAGAGGATGGACCAAGGACCCAGGACAACCAGAGGCAAATGCCTCAGACTGCCGGCCTCCAACCTAAGACAGTCTCATCTGCTATGCATGGGTGGTCTTGTCACTGACCTGGAAGGCTCATAGCCCACCCACCAAGAGGGCTTGGACATGGAAAAGGAGGCCCTTTCTTGCTGTGGATACAGCTTTCTCTCCTGATGGCATGACCCAGAAGAGACCACCCGCCAACACGAAACTCGAGGCAGTGAAAAGGGACTGCTAAGGAGCAAAACCATGGAAAATGTATAGACAGTTGTGCCCCTTGATGGATGTCTCCTATGCCCCTAGACGGGACGGCTGGCTAGGGGGCGGGAGAGCTGGTCCGTCTCGCTGAGACAAAGGGCCTGATGGGAGTAACATCGTGAAAACTGCCTGACCTCCTGCATCAGTGAACCCCGCTATTCTGCACGGCTACACCCCAAAACCCCACCCCTCCAGTTCTGTGTCTTAGGCCAGTATTCTTGCACTTTGCCAACCCCATTCTTCCTCCTGCCACTCTGTTTTTGGATCTTAAGCAGCCGTGGATACTGGGGTGCCACTGCCCCTAAGAAAAGACTGAGCCAGGAACTGCCTCCTCCTTCTCCTCCCTCCTCATCCCCAGCCATTTGCTGGACTTGAACCAATGCCCCTTGTCTTGGCTCCCTGCTGGCAGCCGCAGGTGTTCTGGAGTTTATGCCTACCAATACAAACCTGTGTGTCTCCCTGGCTCAAGCGGGATGTGTCTGCACAGTCAGCCATCCCAAGAGGAAATTGGACCTTGGTGGACACGTGGGATGAAGCTCATGAGTGGGAGATGCGGCTGCATGCAGGGTGTGGAGCCCGTGGCAGGGAATCATCTAGGGAAAGCTGACCACTTGGAGCAAAGTGGATGCAGGTTTGAGTGGTGCCAGCAGGTGCAAGTCCTGAGTAACGACTTCCTGGGCTCCAGGCTGCCACTGGCCAAGTCAGCCGGCCCCATAGCCTGGGACGCCCAGGTCTAATGAGGGCCGCTTTACCCTCTGACCCAAGCCTCGCTCCAGCAGTGCGCAATATGTTTCTGTCTTTCCCAGTGCCACCTGGAGCAGAGAGAAGCTTGGACAGGAATGCTTCCCGCTTCCTCCCAGCCTGCCCTGATCACTTGAGCTTGGCAAAGGGCACCTGGTGAGAGAGACTCAGATGCTTCTCAGACAGCCAGGCCTAGTTGGACAGGCCTGGGACACTCAGTCGCGACCCAGGGATGGCCCTGCAGGGGTCACCTGTCCTCCCCAGCTGCATCCTCCTATCACTGCCTCATGATCTTCATGGTAACCGCAAGAGGTTCACCTCCTCTGAGCAAGGTGACCCTGCACCACCCTCTTCCCAGCTGACTCACGACAGGGTTGCCATGGCTACCGCCACACCCACCAGGCCCCCTCCCCAAGGTAGGCCGATTGTTTCCCCACATGCCCCCAGCCCCGCCGCACCTCCATCCATGGATTAAGACAGAGGATGCCAACCCTGAGTGGGATCTCCAGATGGAGTGGGCTGAGGAGGAGCCTCCCGCCAGTCTCAGAGAGGAAGGAGGCTGAGTTTTGAGCAGATCGGGGACAGAGGGAGGGGTTTCAGCATCCAACCATCTGAGTGTCGTACTGTCTGTTTTTTTAAAAACCACTAAGGTGCAAAGACCTGTTTGCACCGTTTTTTTTTCTTTCCACCTTACTCTTTTCTTGGACTTTCAGGTTTTCACTTCGGTTTTTTTTTTTTTTTAAACACATTTTCTTCGTTTTCTCACGGAGTCTGTACCGCAGAGATCAGCAGATTCCAGCTTCTTCAGGCCTTCTGGATGGGGAAGGGGAAGTGGGGCGGGCCGGAAGGGGAGGGGGCCCCCAGGCACCCTGTGTCATTCTCCCCGCTCTTCTCTGGTCCTCCAATCACCATCCTGAGCCCCATCTGCCACCAGCACCATCACACGGTAGCCCACACGGATAGCACAGTTGACAGACAAGATTCCTTCAGATTCCGAGCTGCCTGCAAGTTGGTATTTTTGGTTTTTGTTTTTTTTTGTTTATTTCTCTCCTTCAAGACAGCAATAACCGCATCACATATTACTGTAGCGTTACATACATGCATACCACGGCTCTGGTCTCTCGTTTTCATTCTCAATTAAAAAAAATAATAATAAATGCTCATATTCATTACTGGTGAAAAAGATGGAACCATAAACCGACGAACAAAACCAGTTTGTGAACAGCGAAAGGCGGAAGCAGATCTTGCGAACGTGGAAGAGCTCAGCTCCTGTTTAGGGTTTTGTACTTAAGGAAATAAAAAGAACACAAAACGACAAACAACCCAGAGGATCTCACATTTTATTAAAAAAAAAAAAGTGTGAAGATTGCTGTATGCTATTTATTCAACTTATAATTTATGTTACTCCTTGATCTTTGTCATGACAAAGCATTTATTTAATAAAGTTATGCATTCAGTTAGCCTGCGTCGGCTTCCTCCGAGCCCCTAGCACGTAGGAGAGCGCTAGGGCCAGAGCAGAGAGGACCCAGGTGTAGGAAGGTAGGGACCTGTTCCTTTCCTCTGGAAGACAAGCACCCCATTGCACGCCAGTGACTCGAAGCCTCCCTCCCTCATGGGTGAACAACCTCAAAGGACCACTCTGGGACTTGGACGAGCAAGGGTGTGCCAAGCACAGTAGGTGCTCAACTTTTGCTGGTTTTGGAGTACAAGCCAACTCCCGAATCCCCTTTATTGGATCAGCTCCACCCGAGGTCATGTAGGTTCCAGAGGCCTGAGCACTCAGCTCCGGCCCCGTGGCCACCTGTAGCTGGCACCTGGCAACGGAGGTAAAGATGGAGCTGTAAATGATGACAAAGAGGTGCAGAGAGACACAGGCTCTGAGCTGGTGGCCAAGGAGGGCATACGAGAAGGCCTTGTCAGATGGCAGTCATGCCAGAGGACTTTGTCCCAGCGTCTCCAAGGCAAGCTCATGCTGACGCTGTCACCCCTCACTGGCCAGAGCAGGTGTGAGCTGGGACCCTTCCCTACCTTTTTCCTCCCTGGGGGCTGCTCTCAGTGGTGGGGCCTCATGGCCACCACGTCCCTCCATGCCTGGCACCTCCTCCTCTCTGCCTTCTTCTCCCTCCTCCTCTGCTAGCTCTCTGTTCATGAGATCCAAGGCTGACTCTTGATGACTCCACCCCTTGACTTTCCCTCCGCCTCCCCCATCCACTGATCCAGGGCACCTTAGGGGCATTGTGGCTCGTTGGCTATGCCCTCTCCCACCCCAGTGTATGGCAGCCCAGCCTGCTGCACAGCTCAGTCTTCCTGGCCTTCCCTTCCGTCTGCTCAGGCCATATGTTCAGCTCTCACACCCCAAAGGATTCCGGAACTAAAATCCCATTTCCTGTCCTAGTCCCAGGAAGAGAGACATGGGGCCAGAGAACGGCAAAGCAGGCGTTCTCACCAGCGAAGGAGAGTTTCAGGGGCCCACCTGTTCCTGCTGCATCCGTCCTCTCTGGCTCACCTTCTCCCCCACTCTTGCCTTCCACCTGCTGTGCCCTGCAGGCCCCTCAGCCCTGGGAGAGCTCTCTCCTCCACCTCCCATCCCCACCCCCTTCCCCTAATACGGAACCCAAAAGAGCACCACTATGACTGCTGAAGGTCCCCCAAATCCTGCCCGGAAACCTGCTAGGGCCCCCGATCAAGTCATCACCCTGTGTGTGTCTACAGTACACTCTACCACCTTCCCTTGCTCCTGGCAAACGCCCTTGACCTTGCCCAAGAAGAGAAAATCTTGACCAACAGATAAGTATGCCCCCATCTTACCTTACTCACCCTATGAAGTTGATTAAGCCACTTCCTGTGATGCAGGCTTTGCCTATGAGCACAGGCTGATCCACTTCCCCTCTGACTTGCTACTAATGCTCCTGAGAAAGCAGCAGAAAATGACCCAAGTGTCTGGGATTCCCACATTGGAGACCCAGATGGAGTTCCTGGCTCCTGACTTTGGCCTGTCCCAGCCCCTGCTGTTGCAGCCATTTGGGGAGTGACCAGCAGGTAGAAAATCTCCTTCTCATTTATTCTCCATTTCCCTCAGTCTCTCTCTGTCATTCTGTCTTTTAAATAAGTAATTCTTTCACGAAAAAGCTACTCATCACACTCTTTCCAACTCTGCTTCTGCGAACTGCCACTCCGTGACCTCCCTCGTCCAGAGCCATCCCACACGCTTCTGTGCCAGGGACAGAAGGTGGGCAGGTGGCTGTGAACAAAGGCCCTCACATTGAAGGGATGGGCCTGATGCAGGAGGAGACACATGTCATGGTCCCCACCTTCAGGCACTCAGGCTTTACAGGTGTCGTTGAGGCCATCACTTTACCTTAGACCACTCAAAGCACGATTGAATGTATCAGTGAAAATCAACTCCGCACCTGTGTTTTCCATCTTCATCCCCTTCCTCCTCCCTTCACTCTCAGAGAACGGCACCTGCCTACCCCCAGCCAGTCAACTGCACCTCACATTTGCCTGCTGCCCCTCACAAGCTGCTAAGCCCTGGGACTCAGTGACTCTGGGGCCCCTAGGAGACCTGGTCCTGCTCGGTGCCTCCTCCATAGCCCACGTGGGCGGCCTCAGTTCTTCCTGCCGGAATGCCCTGCCCAGCCGCTGCCGTAGCTCTCAGGCAGAGTTCACATGCCAAAATCAGATCCACTCGTGCTCATCCTCGTCTAAATCCCTCCCGTGGTGCTTCCTGGCTCTTGGTCCCAAGTTCAAATCTGCCCAAGGTCCTTGCTCTGGCAGCTCCAGGCTCACTCTGTTGCTCATGACGAATGCTTCTACCCGTGCTGGTCTCTCTCTGAATCCCCTAAGCCTGCCTGCATGCATATATCCACACATGCACACCCACACTCTTCTTTCCTCCGACTTCCACTGCTCACAGCTCTTCCCACATCGTCTGCCTGACCTGTGCTCCGTGATGGCAGCATTGAAAGGATGCTTTGGTGGCCTGCACCTACAGCCTCCGCTGGAGGTGCCCCTTCCACCCGTGGTTCATCTCGGAGGCAACAAGGCTGCCTCCCTGCGCTGGAATGCAGCCTTCCAGACTCAGGCCCTAGTCCTTCCCAGCTCCATGTCTGCTTGGTTCCGACACTTCTCTGGTTCGTTGTGATAGAAGCCATGGGCCACGGGTGGGAATGTGCCCTCTGGAGAGTGTTCCCCTGGGCCCCTCTGGTGGTTCTCCCAAGACAGCAGCTATGGGTGGCAAGTGTGACCCAACCCAGCCTTTCCCAGCCCCTTGCTTCTGCGGAAGCTCCCACCGCCGCTCACTGTGCTCTGAGGTCAGGCAGCCAGGCTCAGGCTCTGCCGCTTTGCTCTCAGAAACCTCAGCACCTCGAGTAACCAGAACCTCTTTTCTTCACAAGCAACCTGTTCCAGGTGTTTCATTCCAGTGACACAAGCTGAACCCTCAGGCTGCCCTCCCATTGAGCTGGCAGCAAGGGCGTCCTCTTCTCACAGTACCGCTCTGACACAGAAATCATCTCCTAGGTTTCAAGGTAACGTTAGTGGGAACCCCAGAGCTTAGAAATGGGGCCGACAATTAGCAGTCCTAATTGTGCTCCAAGCCCATGCTGTTGGAAGCCCCTGCTATGTAGCTAGCTGGTATTCAAGACATGGAGGAGGCGCTGTAGCAGCGTAAGATCCAGCCTCGTGGGCCTGGGGCTCAGGCAGACACACAGGGCTCTGCTGTCATGGCCTGGAATTTCCTAGCAGTTTCAGAACTAGGGCTTCTTCCTATGTTCAAATGTACACATGAAATCACCAGTGCTATGGAGGCATCGCACAGAAGGTGTATTTAAATGAGGTTTCCCAGGTCCCACGCAGGTGGTCTGGTCTCAGGGCTGACATCCACAAGCATCCTCGAGGTGCCTGCCCTTGGCCTGTCTCTCCAAGGAAGCTCGATTGTAGTTCCCCGAGACACCACACGGTGGCGGTATAGTCGAGGCGGTTGAATTCCAGAAAGGCACGCGATCTCATCTCCACCCAGCCAGCCCTCTTCCGATGTGGGTGCAAATGAGCCACATCCTACATCACTCAGCTGGAGCCATAGCAGAGATTGGTGAGGGACGCGGACATGGGATTCCCAGATGACCTAAGCAAGCCAGCAGAAGGCTGCTCCAGCATCGGCCTGTGCAAATCTCCCTTCTTGACACCCTGTCTCCAAAGAGCCTGCCTGTACATCTGTAACCTCACAGCGACGTGCTGTTGCTGCCATTGTGTCCATTACTCAGACGAGGGAAACTGAGACCCAAGGCAACGGCCTGCTAAGAAGGAGGAAATTGGACCCAAGTTTACCTGTGCTTATTCCAGATTTTCCACTTGTCCCTAACTTTTCAGTAGAACAACCTGGGAACTTGGACAAGAACAGGCACCCTCTCGGGGCTCCTCCCCTTCCGTAATTAGATCAGAACCGCAGAGGCTGAAACGCTGGCCACTGGCCGGGCTATTTTCAGGGGCTCTGTAGATTCAGGTGGTAGCCAGGGGCTAAACCATGCTGTGCCTCCCATGGGAAAGAGGCTTGTTGGGTCGCTCTTTACCCCCACCCTCCACCCCTGCCAAGGACAGGGCTCCTCTCCACAGCCGCTAAGGGGATGGGGTGGAGGAAGGCAGTGGAAGAAGGGTCCATCGGATGGACAGAAGGGACTCAGACTCACCCCCCTCCCCAGGGCCCCTGGAGCTCCAGGTCCCATTCTGCCTCCACCCACAGTGGACAACCAGGAGCGTTTTCCTATCTGTGAAGTGGCGCTGATGCAAATGCCTCCTTCAGGACGGATTCGGAAGGACACATCGCATGTGTCTGGCTGCCATTGGCGTCCTCTCCCTTCCTCCAAGCCCGGGGATGTGCCTCCCCAACCTGTTCTTGGGCTCCAGTTTCCTTGCATGCAGGAAGACTGCTCAACTCGCCTCTCCCGGTGGCCCCGCCCCATTCCCATCCCCACCAGGTGTCGCTCCGCCTCTCCGCACTTGCTGGGTTAAAGCAATGGGAACTGCCCATCCTCCGTGTCCAGACCTACACAGACTTGGGGAAGGGACACCGTGAACGCCACAGCTCTGCACTGAGCCTACCTCCCCTCCCCGCCATTCCTCCAGCCACTGCAAAACAGGTGGGCCGTTCCCTGGGAATTCACTCAGGCCCCCAGGGACCAGCAGAACCAAGTGCCAGTTCAGCTGCTCAACTAGTGGAGCGGCAAACTCTGCGTGCACCTGCCTCCATGCTTGCGGCTTCATCCTGTGCTCCTCTGCAATGTCTGCAGGTGACACCAGCTGATAAGCAGGCAAGGTGGTCGTGGGGCACCTCCCCTACTCCACACCGGAAGCTCAGGGCTCAACAAGTGTGAATAAATCCATCCATGGTGGCCCTCCACCCCAAGTCTTTTCTCCTGGTCTGGATTGCAAGGCTTGTCCTGGGCAGGAGAGCTCCCCTTTATTTCATAGACCAGAGAACCCCAATTCCAAGTTTCTTCTCCCCAGTGCCCTCCTCATTCTGACATGGATGGGACAAGATCGGGCAAGGAGCTTCCCTCTGGCGCCCAAGCAGTGGGGCTGTCAGATTCCTGGCCTGGACTCACAAAGCCTCCTCCCTCCGTGATGAACAGTCACCCAAGAAGCACCTGTCCCATCTTCCAGGAATTGGGAAAGCAAAGCTGGACAGGAAATGGCCCCAAGAATGCAGGCAAAAGACACATACTTGAATTTTCCTTTCTTTAATTTTAAGCAAAAGAGACACGGGGCTTCAAAAATAAAAATTTCTTTCCACCCCTTCCCAAACCTCTACCCCAGCTTCCTCACCACACCCCTCTTCATTACCCTGAAGGAAGCAAGGGGGGCGGGGGTTGCAGGCATCTCCAGCTGGGGAGAGAGCAGGGGGCTTGCCGAGCGCAGTGGTGCTGAGCTCCTTCCAAATATAAATACACGTGTGTCAAAGCTCCTGGAAAATCCCCCACCCCCACCACCCAGACACTCTCCATTGTCGGCTGGGCGGATTTGGAGAGGGGGCGGGGAGGAAGGAGACAGGCACGGGCAGGCTGCGCATTACTGAATCTGCTGGTCTTGTACCGCAGGAGCCTCTTCTTGACCAGTGTAGAAGAGATGACACTGAGGGTCCCCCCGGAGGGTGGGGGCGCCCTGGATCACCTTCCCAGTGTTGGGGTTCACGCACCAGCACTCGCCACGCCGCCCGTTCAGGGACATCTTGCACTGAGGAAAGAGAAAAGGAGACGGTGATGGGTGATGGACAGGTGTCTCGCAGACTCGCTCCAACGCTCGTGCACTCGGGCTAGTTCCACAGTGGAACTGTAGGGAGCGCACCCCAGAGTCCATCAGAGTGCGGATTCCTCTCTGGGGTGGGTCCGGACTCTGCAAGGTTCCCGAGCTCTAAAGGAATGGTGCAGGCGTCCTCTCTGATGGACAGGGTTGCAGGAGATAACCCCAGGGTGAACCTCCACCCCTCCAAGAGGGCCACACCCACCGGGACACCTGGCAGCCTGGAGTTTAGACTTCATGGAAGGTGGCAAATCTACAAAACCCAAGCCAGGGTGCGCCAGGCACTGCGTAAGCCACGCGCCGGCTCAGGCGGGGTTTGCCTCACCTCACCTCACACACTGCCTGCTGATTCAAATTCCCCGCGTTTACACAGAAGCTGACCAAAATCACAGACTGGTTGGGAACTCTAACATCACGTGGTGAAGGAGAGACAGATCCCAGCCACAAAGCCAGGCATGCCCCATTCCAGGGTTCCCACTCTTATCCACAAGCCACGTGGTTAACTCTGAAATCCCTCTAGTTCCCCTGCTCCCGCCCCTGGAAGTTGCACCAGGCAGGCGGTCTTTCCTGAGCAGAGAATACTCCTGTTGGCTGGGCTCCACACGGCTGGTTCACCTCGAGAAGGTATGCACACAGCTTTTCAAGCTAGACAAGCTTTACAAAGGCAAGATGCCTGTGCGGTGGAGGAGGCGGGGCAGCAGACACACACACACACACACACACACACACACACACACACACACACACACAGAGCCTCTTCTTCACCCCCGCCCCGGGGGTCAGCAGAGTCCTGAGCCTGCTCTTCTGGCTTCGGGATCCATACACCCTTTAAATCCACGCTGTCGGCTTGGGAGGATCCCCACAGGGGTTTTCTAACATCTCAGACCCACCCAATCCTGATCCCCAGATCCACGAGGGTGACTGCTGCCCGGAAGCCCCAGTGCGCAGCCGGGGCTGGAAAGCACCATGGTGACTGCACACCGACCGTTCCAGCCCTCCCTGTCTCCCTTCCACTCCTTCTCTGCCAGACACAGGCCCGCTGACCCTTCTCCCGGGATAACAGATGGCAACGTGGAGACAGCCAGTGGTGGGGAGGGGCGGTGGTGGGCCAAGGACAACGGAGGGATGAGGAGTGACCACTGAGCTGATGTGCCTACTGCATCAGCACACCACGAAACATCCTGCCCCTGTGAGCTGAAAGGGGGTGGGAAGGGAAGGGGGCTCCTGGGTTCTCCAACTGGTTGGTTGTTTCCAAAATACTTAGGATGTTGCTCTAATCTCATTTTCTTAAGAATTACTTTGTTGATTTGAAAGAGCTGCAGCCAGATGGGATGGCACATGGCAGGCAGCGTACCCACCACACCACAAAGCCAGCCTCTCTAGTCCCATTTCTAGAAATCTTTTCGATGGGATTGCTCCATCCTTGATTCTCTTGTCTGAACTAACTTGGCACATCTCAGCAGTTGAGATGCTCGTGTCACCTGTTGGAGTTCCTGGGTTTTACTGTGGGCCCCAGCTTCCTGCTAATGCGGCTCTGGGGGGAAGGAGGGTTGGCCCAAGTACCTGAGTGGGAGTTACTCCCATGTAGGAGGCCTGGACTGCATGTTTGGCTCCTGGCTCCAGCCTGGTACAGCCCTGTGTGAGCATCTGGGGATGCTCTTCCTCTCTCAACAAAATAAGTAAAACCATTTTTAAAAATAAATAAAAGAAGTGGAAAGACTAAGAGAGGCTACTTGGTAAATGGCTTAAATCCGTGGTTCTGGAGCGTAGTATAGATCAGCAGCATCTCATTGCCTGGAGATGCAAACTGCAAGTCTACATTCCACCTGTTCAAGGACGGACAGGTCCCCCTTCTGCCTGCCCAAGAACCAGCTCCAGGGGCTGCCAATACTCAGTACGCATTTCTGTGTTCCAGCCCTTAGGGCAGTGCTCACAGGTGGCTGGACAAGTAAAGGCAGCCTCTGGTCCAGCTGAGGACACAGAGGGAGCCCCACCCTCCTTGTCACTCCCACACCTGTGGTTACAGACACTTGAGTCTCCCACTCAACTCCCAGGCCCGAGACGATTACAGGTGGGGAGGGCAAGAAGAGCCCAGGGCTGGCAGTCACACTGACCTGTTTGAGGTTGTACAGGCCATTCTTGTCACAGTTGGGGATGTGCAAGGAGTAGAGGTGCTCCAGGGGTCCCCGATCATCCGGAAGGCGCATGGTGGAGATCCGCTCCAGCACTTGGTCCAATTCTTGCTGGCAGGGGGTCTGTGGGCACAGAGAGCATGTGGGGTGAGAACAAAAGGCCCGCTCCCCCAACACTGGATGCAGAAAAGAAGAGGGGAAAGCTCAGTGAGGGGAGCATACAGCAACCAAAGCGAGCACAGGTCCTCAGGATGCATGTTCTCCACCTGTATCCTAAGCCCAAGCAGCATTGGGCAGGTGTTACGAGAAAGGAACTTAAGCCAGTTGGGTGTCCAGTCCATGTCACAGCCAGACACACCACTGAACATGCTACTCACAGGACTGGCAAGGATGTCACTCATCCTCCCCCTTCCTGGTCATGCCCACCCACTCCAAACCAGCCAGACCCCACTGACCCTAGGGGTCGGTGGCCGCAGCTTCTTGGGTTCCTCGAGCCCGAGGTGATGCTTGCCGCCTTTGCCCAGTTGCCGCTGCTGCTCGCTGATCTTCTCCCGGAACATGGCCAGTTCCTTCATGCCCGACTTGAGGGACTTGCGGCCAGCACTGCCCGTGCCTCCCAACATGTTTATGGTCCCATCCACATTGTTCTCGACCAGGCTTCCCTCAGGGTGGTCCTCGCCATTATCTGCAAAGAGGAAGACAAGAAGAGCTCCGGGGGCTGCTTCTCAGGGACATGGAGGTCCTCCGAGGACCACCTGGAGCCCCCATGATGCCCAAGATGGCCATGACCTCCTTGGGACCCACGTTCCAAAGCATGTGAATTCTCAGCTTCCCTGTACCTCTTGCGTAGGCGCTAATTAACACGCTCCCCAACTTTAACAGAGGCAGTTACTTCATAAGACCAACAGTGGGTCCAGGGCAAGAGCTCCAGAAAAAGTGACGAAGGCGGCCTCATCCTACCATCGGGCCTCCATCCTTCAGGGCCAGAGCCAGGCAGAGGGGCGCAGGCTGACGGCACAGCTGCCCTGGCTCCCAAAACCTGCCGCGATAAAGTCCTCTCTGGGACTCCATCAACAAGTTACTGTAAGTCCTTTATCACTTAAGTGTCTGAAAGATGCAGGTTTTGTGAACTTTGAAAAGCTCTGGGCTACCCCAAGTCAGATGAGTGAGGGCAAGGTGGGGAACCACCCACCCTATCCCCTAGACTCCAGTCCAGCTCATCTCTGCTGTCTCTCTTCACTCGCCCATCTTCCCACAGTGCAGTTCCTTTAGTGCTTTGCTCCCGGGTCTACGGCACTACCTCTTTGAATCTTATTTGCGTCCAAGTTCATCAGTGTGCCCTGCCCCAAACCCGTCATCTTGCAGAACCTCAGGACCATGCACTAGAACTTCCTCCATCCTGGAGTCTCAGTTTATGAGAGACACAAAGCATCATCAAGGTCTCTGTGCAAGAAGCACTCATTGCTTCTTTTGTCGCTGTCTCAAACATATTGGATGTACAGCTCTCAGGTACTCCGATCTCACTCTGACTGTTCGGCCGGGGCAGAACCCCACGATAGTAACAACCCAGGAGACGAGCCCCAGGAAGTTGTAAAAGTATGGGACTCTAACAGGCCAGCCCTGGCCCCTGAAAACAAGGCAGAGCAGAGTCCCAGGCCAGCTTGCCCAGGGCAGTGCATCTGCAGTTCCCAACAGCATGGGCCAGGTGCAGAGGGGACATTTTTTCAACAAACCTCCCCTTTAACATACATTCAAAAACTCATAGCCCCGTTCACATAACTGAATAGCTCTTACAATATTTTTTTTTCTTATTTATTTGAGAGAGAAAGTATTTAGGCACTACCATCTGTGGGCCCCAAATGCCCACAACAGCAGGCACAGGACCAGATCTATGCCAGGAGCTGCAAACTCAATCAGGTCTTCCACATGAGTAGCATGGAGCTAACCATTCAAGCCGTTACTGCTGCTGCTCCCCAGGGTCCCCATCAAGAAGAAGATGGAGCCGGAGTCAGGTCTCCAATCCAGGTACTCCAGGGATGCAAACACCTTACAGGTTAAAATGCCTGCACCATGAAAGTATTTTTACACAAAGGTTCCACAATCTTGGTGGTCCTATCAGAATTCAGGCCCTGCATGGTGAGTTCCCACAGTCACGCTCCAAGATACTCAGGGGAAAAACCTAGGCCTTACTTGTGAGTGAGGGGCTGTGGCATCCCCCTGAGTTGCTGTGACCTGTGTGGGCTTCACACACACACCTCTAAGGGGGAAGGTGCCACTGTTGTGCCAGCTGTAGCAACAGTGGGTGGCCAGTACATTCCCCAGCAGCCACCAGGTGTCCAGGACACTCCCCCAGCACACCTGGTGTCCAAGATGTTAACCAGCAGCCACCAGGTACACCTGGTGTACACCAAGTTTCACCTGGGGCTGACAGCTGGTCAGCTCTGAGCAGCCACAACAGCCTCCCTTCAGAGTCAGGAAGAGCGCTGCTATGTAAGGGAGTACAGAGAAGCTGAACCTTAGCTCTGCCCTGTCTCTGTCAGCTGTCTTTCCTTTGAGCCTCCACTTCCTCACTGTGCGCTGTTAGACATGAATACATTTCAAGAGAAGTAATCAGAGAGCCTGCCATGATGGCTCAGTTGACTAATCCTCACCTTGCAGGTGCTGGGATCCCGTGTGGGGGCGCCATTCCATGTCCTGGCTGCCCTCCTTCCCATCCAGCTCCCTGCTTGTGGCCTGGGAAAGCAGAGGAGGACAGTCCAAGGCCTTGGGACCCTGCACGTGTGTAGGAGACCCAGAAGAAACTACAGGCTCCTGGCTTCAGATTGGCTCAGCTCCAGTCATTGTGGCCGTGTGAGGAATGAATCAACAGATGCAGGATCTTTCTGTCTCTCCTCTCTGTAAATCTGCCTTTCCAATATAAATGAATCTTAAAGAAGTATTCAGAGTAGGCTGTAGGTAAAGCTGTGAAAAACGCAACATGGAGCACAGACATTCCTTGTTCACCTGGGCCTCAGGGATCCAGCCATGACCAAGAACTGGGAAATACAGGACAAGTCCATCTACATTTGAAAGTTGAAAGATGCCTGAAGAACCTCAGCAGTTTCCCCACGAACTGCTCCAGCCAGACTGACCCCTGGTGTCCAAGTCACTGAGAATCCCATCAACGAGAGTGAAAGAGCAAGAAAGAAGACAGGTGGACAGTGGCAGCATGTGCCAAAGGGCAGGGGGGGAAGAAGAGAGAGCAGCCAGACTCAAGGACTGCGAGGACATTTCCCATAGCACGTCCACAGGCCTGCGGACTGCCACACTCTCCAACCTCAAACAAGGACCATACTGTTGCCAAAGATGACTTGGTACCTTAAAAAAAAAAAAAGAAATGAAAAAGAGTGGGGAGAGGAAGAAAGGCAGGGAGGGACGAAGGAAGGAAAGAAACAAAGAAAGGCAGGTAGAAGGGAGGGAAGAGGTCAAAATGCCCAGGATCCAGCATTCCATTTTTTTCTATCTAAAAATCATTAACCATCAGAGGAACAAAACCTAAACTATTAGAGTGCATAAATGCCCCTGAAACCTGGAAAATTCTTCAGTCTGCAAGAGCTCTTTCCTCCGAGCGTGCTAGGCAGCCTGGGTTGTACAGTAAGTGAAGCAAAGGCAGCTTAAGCTCTGGTCCAGCAGCCGCAGCACCGCCTGCAGAGGCGGGTGGATTGAAAGGCCTATGGGCTGAGCAGGGGACCTGTACCATCATGTCCAATCAGACCCAGCAACAGCTCCAAACCCTCCCTACCCACCTTGCCACTCCCTGAGGCAGGGAACGGGAGCATGGGTACCACATTCAGCCGCACCTTGGGGAGCAGGCTCGCCTGGTCACCCCAAGGCTTGGCTTAAGGCAGAGGATCTGCACTTCAGCAGGTTCTCTGATCAAAACAGGGAAAGTGGCTCATGCAGAACACCGCAGCCCAACTTGGGCCACTGCAGGCATGTGCAAAGTGAACCAAAGTTATGAAAGATCTCTCTCTATTCCTTTGCCCCTGTACTTTCAGATAAAATAATTATCAGTTAATTTTTAAAAATCACCCAAAATCACACTGTTAGGTCAAAATGTAAATATACCTATATTTACATTTATAAATCCAGCTGTAAAATGACATTTCAACATATTTTGATGGAACAAAAGGCCCACAGAGACCACGGAGTCCAGGGCCGATGAATGGCATAGTGAAGGTGGCTCCAGGTCCCAGAAGACAGGGGCCACAGCGGGTCGTTGTCTTGGGGGAGGATGAGTAGGTTCCCATCCTGAGATGTCCCTGACCCCTCCCAGGTGAGGGTCCCCGTGTCTACCCTCACGGAGGACATCTGGGTTCCAGGGTGTCTACTTTGTTCCACTCCTTTATGGATCTTCTCACTGCCAACCAACCTACCAGTAAGACCAGGAAATCCACAAGTCTCTTTGGCTCTTCACGGTGTTCCTAAAGGTGCTAGAACATTCCTTTCTTTCTCTGGACCCAGCTTCAGGATATCTCTGAGCTCCACACCTTGAAGTACAAGCCCAGGGAACCCAAACGATAAAGAGTGGGGAAGAGATCACAAGACTGCAGACTGGGGTTAAGCCCCCAATCCTTTGTTACCATTCCCAGCCAAAGCGGTTCAAGAATCCAGGCCACAAAGTTTAACCCCTCAGGTCCCATTCCCAGCCTCACTACTTTGCTGTGCAGCCCTGGGTAAGTTACTAGAGCTCGCTGTGCCTTCAGGGCTTTTTGTGTAAAGAGCCATCCACCTCCAGTGGGCCTGCAAGAAGACCCCAAGAGACTGCGTGCAAAGACCCACACAGGATGAACGCTCAGCTACTTCATTTCCCACCCTCAGGGCAGCGTTCACATGGTCCCCAGCCTCAGTGGGACCAGGGCACTGTCCTGTTACCAAGCTCTTCCTGTACATCTTCCGGGCTATGGGAGCAACCTGCAGGGGAGCATTCCAGATGTAGAACTCCAGCTAGAGATGGAATTTGCCCTCTGAACAAAAATACCGAGTTGCATTTTTTTTTCTGCCTGAAAGACTTAGGTCCACAACAATATTTATTAATCAACCCTTCTGTATGCTATGCAGAAGTCCCAATTTCAAAAAAAAAAAAATGTTCTCAACAAGCCAGGTCACAGAATCTGGCATGGAGATGACCAATGGGGGCCTTTGCAACTTCTCTCTGAGGATTAAGTATTAATTCTTTCCCCGCCCCCACCAAGTTTGAAACCAAGAAAAATGGGTTAACTCTGAAACAGACTTTTGTGGTAGTCTATGGAAGATAAAAAAAAAAAACTTTGCCAGAGAATACAGGCGAGTCGGGGCAGGGGGAACAATGGGGAGCCCTCCTGTGCGTATCGCAGCCATACTGCCACACTTTTCTACCCGAGAGAGGTGTCGAAGAGAGATGCAGGAAATAGAGAGGATGGCCCATTTTACAGATGGGCACACCTGAGCCCAGAAGATCCGCTCCAAAGGGGCAAATAGCTCATCTCTGCCACCATCAAATGTTTTTCACCATAGGCATGTTGCCCTTTAACCCACCCACCCTTAGGAATCCATCCCAGAAGGAGAGCAACCAGAGCTGACACTCCAAAACTGCTGGCATGAAAACACCTGCTTTCCAACTCAGCCCAGGCATGGCCCTTTACCCCATGGTAATCCTGCCTGACG